CCAGTGACTTCTTTCTTTACCTGAAGATAAAGGAAATATTGAAAGGAGGACATTTGGATGACATTCAGGACATCAAGGGTAATACGATGACAGCTCTGATGGCCACTCCAGAAAAAGAGTTCCAAAATTGCTTTGAAGGGCGGACTAGGCGCTGGCGTCTGTGCATAGCTTCCCAAGGGGAGGACTTAGAAGGTGACCGTGGTGACATTCAGTAATGAGGTATGTAGCGCTTTTTCTAGGGTGAGTTCACGAACTTAATTGTCCGACCTCGTGCTTGAGACCCTCAACCTTCGGGGAGATTGCGATATCAGCGCTGCCCCTCCTACCGTTAACCTGGGCTAGTCTCCCCTTGTCACCCTGCCGGGTGAGGAACCGTCACACTTTCAGCCGGAAGGAGCACTTACCCACCATCCAGTCCATCTCCTCCACATTGTCCCCGTAGAGGCCATGCAGACTTGTCCCGAGGAACTTCTCAGTGGTGACGAGAGGGGTGTGGACGTGTAGAAAGGACACAAAGAGGAGGAAAGGTCCTTGCTTGTTTCTGAAATTAAATATGGGGCTGGAGTTAGTAGTAGTATAATGATTATTATCAAAACAGAGATGGAGGTCCCAGCACTGCAAAACAGAGACCTAAAGTCTCACGTCCTTCCTCAAATATGGATGTTTGCTACGGGACCCACCCGGGACAAATGCGCACAAGCTGTTTCAAAGTTGACCACTCTTGTGTTTGAGAATCTTTCATGGGACGGCATTTCCCTTTTTCTGCCTTGAAAAACCCACGCTGATTGTGTACGTCTTTGTCCCTGAGTGGTATCATTTTCTAACTCTATGTACTTCACACGACTGAAAATAAGAGAAGACCGGGGGACTGTCGTTTCTTGATTCAGTCGTTTCCGTATCTATTTCCCCCTGAGCCTGTAGCTGATAGAATCAGTGATATTGTGCATTCTGTGTTCTTTGTAACTGCTCTCACGCCGTGAGGTTTGAGACGTGCAATTCTTATGGTAAGACACACACATTAAAAATGATGTGTATTAGGGTGATGCAATCCAGTTTGGCGCTCCCCTAGCCAGGCATTGCCTCATCTTCACGTTTCTCTATGTGATCTTTATGGTCTAATCTATATCGCTTGTATATTTTAATTCTCGTTCAATAGGAGTTAATACTAATTCTTATAATGAAGAAGGGACTTGGTATGTAATCAGGCCCANTGTGTGTGTGTGTGTGTGTGTGTGTGTGTGTGTGTGTGTGTGTGTGTGTGGAGACAGGTGATTGGGGGCACAGGTCTGGTATAGAACTCCCGCCTCACTCTCCTTCTGCTGGTGCCCCATGCTGGGCAGGACAAGTGCGAGGGAACTGGACATGCAGTGACCTCCCAACACAGAGTCAGGAAGAACCTTGAGTATCCAGCACGTGTCCCAAATCCTGAGTCTCCGCGAATCAGCAGAGAACACCCCTTGGAAAGAGTTCCGACTTGGAACATGCTGTGTCCTCATCAGCGTTGAAAACGATACACCTACGTGTTTTAATGGGGTCCCAGCCACCCTGAGTCAGGACCAGCGACTCCCCTTGGTGTCTGCAAATCCTTATAGACACTGCTTTCTTCAGCGCTTGAGCTCTCTAGGGGGCCAATGCAGCCTTTCCCAGGTGGAGCTGGGGTGCTTAGACAAGAAACCCCTGTGGCAAGAGGAACGTCCCCGTCGCGTGGCCTGGTCAGCTGGTCAATGGTGCATTTTATTTAGTGGCCTTTGGACGTGATTTGCTCTCTGTTTCTTTGTGTTTAGAACTGGCAGAAGCATTCAACCCCACACAAACGGGCGACTGAATTTCACCGTGGAGTTTTATTTCAACCCCAGCGAACAAATGCAGGCAGCAGGGAGCCCGTGTCCCCAGGCAGGTGGCTACTGTGAGTCCCCTTCCCGGTCGCACCAGCACAGGGGGAAGGGCCCACAGCAGGGCTGCAGCCATGGCTTCCAGACGTTGGACAGCCCATCCAGCTGCAGCGGAACCGGGGTGAGCGTCCGGCGGTGCTGCTTCACCGCACGCTTGGCTGTCTCCAGCACCTGATAGAACAAGGGCTCCGTGTCGGGTGTGAGCGGGTGCGACTCTGAAGGGTCTCTCTAGAGGTCAAACAGCAAAGGTGGGTCGTGAAGGACCACGTTGTCCCCGGAGCACGGGCACACCAGCTCCCCTTCGCAGGCGCCGCCTCTGCTCTCGGGGAGCCGCGGGCTCATATAGTGGACCTTCCACACGGCTCCTCCTGAAAGAAGACGAGAACCACTGGGGGTGGGCACAGGGAAATAGGGCGCTTGGCCGGAGGGCCGTGTGAGTCCCAGGGACCAGAAGCAAATGTCCATCCAGGGATGAACGCACAGAGGCAGTGGGGTCCACCAGCACAAGAGTATTACTCGGTGTGAACATCCCACCCTCCCAGGGAGGATGGTATTAAGAGGTGGGAGCTGTGGGACCTGCTTAGGGTGAGTTGGGGTCACGGGGGTGGGACCAGAGCCCTCTCTCTCTCCTCCAGGGGAGGACGCGCTGAGGAGGACGCCATCTGCAACCCAGAACAGGGCTGTCCCCAGGACCTGTCATTGTCACCACAACGATGAACTTGTGTCGTTACGCTACGGCGGCTGAGAACACCGAGAAAGCAATCGAGATTGAGAGAACAGGCTCGCAAGGTGGGAGACAGGCCAGAGCACATGCGAGTGTGTGTGTATGATGGCCACTGCACTTCCCAGCACAGGGAGAGGCACGAAAGCCATAGAAAACCCCCTAAGCAATGCCTACATCTCAGGAATAACTGATTCCCCAGATGCAATGATTGACAGCTGGAAGGGGCACCCTCCTCCCCGCCGACTCACTGTCCCTTTGGTGCCACCGGACTGCGTGCAGAAACGTCTCACAATAATGCATCAGGAACTCGTGGTCCGAGCGCTGGACGGTCCCCAGTAGCAATGGTAACAGGTCCCGGCCATCGACCACCCTGCAGATGGGAACACGGAGTCAGGGCTGGAGCACAGCACTCGTGAGTATCAGTATCGACGAGCTTCAGGGAGCATCGCGCACCCACCCGCTTCTGCACCCGCAGATACGCCCTTTGCCTAAAGGCTCCTTGAGGACCAGATGGCTCAGATTCAGCGACTGCCCACCCAGCCTTAGTATAAATGTGAAAACATGCTCCCCAGTCATTAGGACGCCTTTTGGCTGTCCTAGCGACCACGTGGGCTTTCAGCCATCCTGGAATAGGGGTCCCCTTCCAGGGGACTTGGAGCCATCTCCTTGTCTGCAGAGCATGGGGCGCTGACGTGGGGTTTTCTCTTCCCCACTCTCCAAATAGTGTCCAGGGCGGAGGTGTTGACATCCCAGTCCCAAGGGCACCACCTTTCTCAGGACACAGCGTAAATAAACACACTGGTTGTCCTTGTCGCCACAGACCCTCCCCGCATGTGTTATTCCCCAGGAACTCAGCCCCTCGCTCCAGGATGGGATACATGTCTGTGAGTCTGTGTTACTTCATCACTAGCCCCGCCACCCATGACGAGGAAATCCTACGCTAAAAATACATGCCGACGACAAGGGATCTGTAAGTGCTCACACAGTGAGGGGGCAGCTCAACGCCTCCGTGGAAAACAGCGGTGACCCTTTCTAAGGGTTCTTAAACGATCTGGAAAACTTTTTCAGGATCTGGTGTCTCAAAATTTATAATCATAAATACCGATGATACATTTTTTTTTTTTTTTTACAGATGCCCTGAACTTAGAATAGCCGTCAAATGGGGTTTCTCCTCTAATGGGAATAGTGTTCTCGGTCAGGTAGAGAATTTAGAACCCTAAGTAGGCTTTACCTGCACAGGGTTGCCATGAAAAAAATGAAATAAAAGAGTATATATTATTCTATATACAACGCATAATATGTTATGTATTGTATATATTAATATAGTGTATATAATAGATATATAATATGCTACACATATTATATATTTATATTCTTTTATTATATATTTATGTATATAATATATAATGCAATAAAATATATGTATATATTGGGTTGTCGGAAAAGTCATGACGCATTTTTGCAACAAAAAACA